GCTGGCTCCCAGCCCACACAGGGCTGGAAGCAGCAGACTTGCATGGGGCCAGCAGAGCCAGCAACCCCTCGCAAGATCCTGGCGGGGTTGGAGCAGCCCTCCACCCACAGTGGGCTATGGGCGGGGGCAGTTCCCAGAGTACCAGTTAACTGTTACACTGTAAGCATCACCCGTTAAGATGATGCTTACCTGTTAATTGGCTACCTGTTAATATTAGAAGGTGGAGTCAGATAAGAGCTGCCAAGGCAGAGGACATAGCTCCAGTTCCAGCAAAGTCCTCAAGGAGTAGTGACTGCTGGGGGTGGAACCTAGTAGCCCACACTAAAGTTTGTCAGTCTGGACCACTGTGGCGATTGCCAGACTCATTACCTACCTTCAAGTGGGCAGGAACACAGTCCGAGGGCTAACACCCTTGCCCCTCATGCAGACTTACTTCTCTGTGGCTGCTGGACCTGGCCAGCAGCAGCTGTTATGGGGTAGGCGAAGCTAAGGCAAATTTGGGGGTTGCTATAGCCCTCACACACCCCTCCCCCATGCTGCCCCAATGTAGACACTAACAGCACATGGAAACTCACAGTGTACACACACACAGAGACAGGCATATCACATATATCACACACTGTACACACACATACAAATATACAATATATGCACATACATCCACACTCAATAGGACACATTATAAATGTACTGTAAACCCTCAAAGGCAGCAGACACATAATACACTATAAACACAAATGGTTACACAGTATATACACTTAATACATAGACACTTAATTAATTATTTTACTCTTCTAACATATTTAAATTTATTACTGAGGAAACCACTTCTTTTGCCCACTCTATAAGGCTAGAAAAGGGTAATCTTACTATTCTTTGCCTGTGGATTTAGTTTAGCCATATGTGAAGTTAATCATACATTTCAAACTGTAGTTATTTTTGCTACCTGTGCTATCAAACCCTTATAAGCCTGGGCTTTTATTTCACATTTAGGTAGGGAGAAGGATAAAAAGAGTGATTTCTCTTCTGCCTTATACTGCATAAGAAGAGATTCCATTTTTTACCTTTTTGACACAATGATACAGGGATGCCCACTGAAAAAAAGGTTCACTGAACCCTTGCCTCAATCCTGACAAACTCACTACATCTAGTCTATACTTTTATTATATTAATCCACAATTTGTAGCTTGTGAGGCCTTTACTCAAAGCTTTAATGACTGTCAGATGTGTATATGGGTAGCAGTTAAGGAATAATCCATGTATCTATATTGAAAATTATTCTCTTATGGTCTTGGAGTAAAAATTAGTTACCTGAGACTTTATGTCTTGATTATTCATTCAAGCATTATGTAATATATTGTTCAATTATCTACCCTTGTCCCCATCCCAGAAAAGACAACGGAAAACCATCAGAACACCTGCAAATACTCAAACTCACTTGGAGGTAGAAAAAGAAACATTAGAGCAGATTATGGATTACCCTATCCATGTATGAAGACAAAGAACTGCTTCAGCATAATACAGAGTACTCTGGATTCATTCACTGATGAGACAGCCTATTGAGCAAGATTTTTTTTTCCATGAAAAATTGGATTTTGGCTCACATAAAGTCACCCATCTCTGAAACACACTGAACTTTGGGAGGAAAGGTACTCTATTAAGCAGGAAAGGTAAATATTAATACGCATAGGCTCAAGCATGTCTTATTTTGTTTTGTATTATAACTAGGGATATGAATGGTTAGCCAATTAACTGGCTGATTACAATTAGCCAGCAGGGGCTAACCTCCCTCTCCAGCCTGGCAGGGCATGCTGTGGGTGGGGAGCATTCCAACCTGGCCAGAGCAACCTCATTCACAGTGGGCCAGGCCATCTGTAGTGGACCTGGCCTGGCCAGAGCAGCATGCCACAGGCAGCAGCGCTGCAGGCTGGGGGGCCACTCCAGCCCATCCAGGCCAGCCCCCATTGTTTAAGTGGTTAACTGATTAAAGAGGAACATTGATTTTAAATAAAACTGGTTAGCTGGGATTACATTGCTTTTTTAGAATTTCTGTGATTATTTAGTGTTAGTGGCTGAAAATCAAAGTGGCTTAATACTACAAAGTGACTTGACCGTGGATCCAGTCTGTATCTTGTTAATATGCAAGGCAAAGAAAAAAATGGCATAGCTTGGAAGACAGTGCTTGACTGGCTGAAAAGCTATTGGTATCAGGGAGCATAAATTCAGTTGCCACAAGCAGGACTTCCTCAAGTTGGAATCAGGAATAACAAGGGGTGTCACAGACCTGTGTACCCCAAGAATCATCACACCCTTGCATATATATAATCACTTCTGTTATTCTGTTCACCCTCTCTTCTTTCTCCTGTTTACTTCTCCCATCACCTTCTGTCTCCTTTTATAAAAGGACATCAGACAGAATAGACTCCCTCTATTGCAAGGACAGTCTGTCTTCCTGTTTGGCAGCTGCTACTCAGAATGGCTTCTTCAAGTGGTGCTGCCTGCCTGTTCCATAGAAACAATCCACAGGAATACTGTGAAATATATAGATTCTTATACTATGCCCATGATTGTAATATATATTAAGCACTATAACTAACATTTCTCATGTGTTTGTAATCTCATCTTCTCCCCAGTAGGAACAGAAAGGACAATTCTGAGATGCAGAAAACTCTGCGTCTTGCAGAGATTAAGAGGTTGTACTGAGCTGAAAGAACAGAACTTTTAAAATTACTCCTTACTCCCCCCTATATGTCCAGGTAATTGAGCAACCAAGAGCAGAAAAGCGGTGGATCAATATTCAGCAGCAAAAACCTGAGCAACTCTTACCATCATGCCTCAAAACCAAAAATATATAAAAATGGATTCTCTTTTAATTATTATATTAATACTTCCATGTTTTTTCCATTCCACTCATTTTCCACAGTGAAAAAAACAGGCCAGTTTTACTTCTTACTTATAACACTCTAGAAAAATGCCACCGAGTTTGGGTTTCCATCATTGAAGGGAAAAAATTATATTTAAAAAAAAGTTTTGTTGAAATTTACTGAAAGTCAGAAACAAATTCTAATCAGTCCTAGACTTTGCAAATCATTTGTCTTTTAATCAAATTACCAACCCTAATTTTTGTATTTAAACTAGTTAATAGTGATACTCCTTCATTAGTTTAAGATGTAGATGTTCACAGCTTTCAAACAATGTTCAGATTTTTGATGATTCCACCTGGACAAATTAAGATCTGCAATAATACGTGTAGCTTGAATACAGTACTGGTTGCACAGGCATTGTTAAAAGTGTGAACTATATTCTGGGCTGTGGAAATCTGAGTAGCTCTATTAATATCAATAAACAATACAAACTACTAAATTGTTTTCCTTGAGTGAATCTGGTTAAAGTAAATTGAATTACAACATATTGTGAATAAAAACTGATATCTGCTACCAGTCACCTCTCAAAATCAGAAAGTTGTCGGAATTTGTGTGTGTGTCCCGGGTTTCCACTGATTCACATATGCTTTTGATTGCCAAGGGAAAATGAAAAGTTTTAATATTTCTAGGCTTGACAGAATTCAATTTCTTTATAATTTTGATGGAAAAGACCAATATTTTGAACAATTTTTAAAGATGTGTATAGATTTAAATGTCCATGGTTTTATAAGATTGTATGTTTTAAGCTTTTTTAAACAATTTAAATTTTCACAGTTGCAAGAAACTGGGTGGGAGAGGGTTAGAGAAAGGAAAGATCAGACAATCATTTATTAATGACAATAGATGACAAGATTCAAAGTTAAACCTTTATAATAATTAAAGTACAAATTACCATATATCAAAATATACAAAATAAATTTTGTTACATCAAACTCTAAAAAGTTCTCTAAAAAGCTTCGTTTTCTCACCTTTCCAATCTGTAAATATTTATTATCAATGGAAATATTTTTTCTTTAGTGGGTGTGGGTACAGTGAAATTAACACTCGTCAATCTTTACTGATAAAATCAAATCATTCCAAACTTACAAAGGGCTGGGTGGAGGGAAAAGCACCTCCACACACCTTGCTGCGGCCCTGCTGGCAGCATCCTAGCCGGCCACAGCAGCCCCACTCCACAGCGCAACCTTGGCCAGCTGCAGCAGCTCCCTGCCTGCGAAGCAGAAAGTTGGGACTCCAGAAAGATGGAGCAGTCCTGATACAGGACCCTGGGGCGACTGACGCAGCTCCCTCCCAGCCACAGTCACCTAGCCCCAACTGCAGGACTCTAGTCACTGTGCACCAGCCTTCCAAAGTTAGTTGGTTAAATGATTAAAATGATATTGTTTAACTAGTTAACCTTTAGTGGGTATTTACATCCCTAATCTAAAGTTAGACTCTGGAATCCGTAAACATATATGACATGAATTATACAGGTGCAGAGCATCAACGCCTCCTATTAAAGTTAATGAGAGCTTAATCAGCTCAGCATCTTTCAAAATCAGGTCAGCTCTATTAAGGTGCCTAATTATGGATTTAGGACCTAACTTTAGGCAGTCATGTTTTAAATTCTGGCAATACAATAAAATACCCACAATGAATTTAAATAAAAGCACCAATCAGAAATTAGAGGGGAAAGCCTTATTGAGTGTTTAGATTCTGTCAGGTTGATTAAAAGCATGTTTTTGACCTCTGGAGATACAGCTAGATGAAAATAGGAAATATAATCATCAGATTCAGTGAAAAAAAAAAAAAAAAGGCCTTTAAAATGTACCAGAGAGACAAACATTCATTTTTATTGTTCATCCTGAACAATTTTAGAGACTGCTTCAGATGGTTAGTTAGGTCAGCTATTCAATACATAAAATCATTTTTTACCATTTGCGGTATTTAGCTGGTGGGGTGTGTTAAGAGAAGGTCATACATACTCTGTCCATTCCAAAGCACAAAACAAGTGAGGAGGGCTTTTTCCATGTAACACCCTAAAAATTCTCCCCAGAAAAACATTTCCAATGTTGAAAAACTGTAATAATACCGTACCTTTATTTCTTCAATTTCATCTGGCACTATCTTGTATGCAGATATAGTCCCACCCAACCTGAAATTGGGAGAAGAAAATATTCTCATAACCAGTATCAAGAAGCATGAAATGCTGTTCATGATTTTACTGTTATATCTGCGTAGATTAGTTCTGAGTACTAACTTGGTATTTGAGCTGTTCAGAAAATGCTTCTTTCATTAACCAAATAAAAACCTTGTAGTAGTTAAAATGAGCATCAGAAGCAAGGTGTGCTTGGCTAGACTGAGAGGCAAGATCTAGGTTACTCAAGTAGGAATGATCAGCATTAGGGCTTTATTCTTTAATTGCACTGTCATTATCAGATTCTTTGGAATTTTTTTTTTACTGTGTGGATGAGTTTAACATTTTAATGCTGTCGTCTGCTTCAACCTCAATATTTCCCAGGATTGCTACATCATTTTAAAATTGTTTTTAGTACATTTTATTTTGCAATGTGTTTGAATGTCAACTTTGAAAACTGATGTATTCTATTTATGTACATACTGGGTATTGAGACTTTGTCTACACTGCAGGGTTTTTGCGCAAAAAGTTTTTTGTGGAAGAGATCTAGCCTGGGCCCACTGTGGATAGAGGCTGGTTCCTGGCAGCAGCCCCTGTCCACAGAGATCCCAGCTCTGTCCGCTGGGGCCTGGCCTCTGTCCATGGGGAGCTCAGACCCACCGTGGACAGAGGCTGCTTCATAGCAACCTCCTCTTTCCCCCATGCTGCTGCCTCTGAAAGAGGCAGCAGCATGGGGGAGGAGCAGGGAGCACCAGGAAGCCGGTGCTGGGGGGAACCAGTTTTTAAGCCAACTCTGCCCAGCACCAGCTGCAGCTCCCCCCCTTTCCACCTATGATACAGAGGCAGCAGGGGCGGGGGAATACATGTAGTTGGACTGCCTTAGACAGAGGCTCCTTTGCGGCAACCTCCCCCACATGTAGCAGCCTGTGTCTGTAGAGAGCTCAGACCCCCCGCAGACAAGTGCTGTTGCCAGACCAGCCTTTGCCTGTGGCCAGTGCGGGCTGCTGTGGACAGAGGCTGCTTTGCGGCAGCCTCTTCCACTTGTAGCAGCCTCTAAATTTAAATTATTGGACATTGCCTATCTCCTAGAACTGGAAGGGACCTTGAAAGGTCATCGAGTCCAGTCCCCTGCCTTCACAGCAGGACCAAGTACCAACCTCTGTCTGCAGGGAGCTCAGGCCCCCCGTGCATAGGGGCTGCTGACACCCCACAATGCTACTTTTGTATAAGAGGCATAGCAGTGGGATCAGTCAGCCAGTCTACACAGGGAGATTGTTTTTAAACTGGCTCCCCTTCCAGACTCCCTCTTGCCTGGGACCCCACGCTGCTGCCTCTGATGGAGAGGCAGCAGTGCGGTATGGCAGGAGGCTCCCCAGAATTGGGGCTGGAGCACACTGGCTGCCAGCCCCACTCCCAGGGACTACAGAATAGACGAGTAACCAATAAGAATTCACGCTTGGTTACTCGACTATTCCATTACCCAGTATTTAACATCCTTACTTCAATGGGCTTTGGATGGGATCCTATACGAAGAAAGAGGGTAGTGGCTTAATGGACTAACTTAGGAAAGGCATTACATATACAGAGAGCAACATGGAAGAAAGTGCAGAGAAAGTTGTGTCAGAGAGTTGCTCCATTTGTCTGTAATTTCGCATAAACCATCAAGAACTATGGGATTGCAAAAAGCCTTCAAAAGGCAGAAACTTTTGGCAACTATAACTCTGAGCTACACTTGAAATAAATAAATACTGAACATCTCTCTCTTTCTCTCTCTCTCTCACACACACACACACACACACGGTTCTCAGCCATAAATCCCTAAGGAAGCATTCTTTTATTATGGCATTTCCATGTTGAAGTATATTATCAAATACACAAGGCAACAATAAAGAAGCTTTAGAAACTCATTTCATTTAAATGCCAGGGTCACAGGGATTTTTTTTTTTTTCATAGTTCACATTTAAAAAAATCTGCATGGTTTGAAATCTCTACTTAGAAAATTCGAAATTAAATTTTATCTCCTTAATGATTCTGGTTTCTTAAATAACTACTTATTTGGGAAGTTTTAATAGATTCACAAGACATTGTCATGTAATATTAAAAATAAAAAGTTAATAATTATAACACTGAGCTTATTTTGTTTAGAAAAACATCATACACTAATATAATAAAAATATGTATCTATTTAGTAGAGCTTTTCTATATTGACTTCTTTACACTACCCGGGACATGTTGCTTCTGATTGTTTAATCATATGGAATGAAACTATTGACTCGACTCATTAATCAATCCAGATGTATCTATCAAGTGTTAATAATAAAAAAATAGTACAAGTGTGTTTTTTGTTTGTTTTTCAGGAGACCTTTTGAGTGGTGAATACATGCAAACCAAATAACTGAGAATCTATTTGGCCTTTATTTTTCTGGGTACATAACTGATGTTTTACTAACATGCTGACCACATATGCATAAAATCTTTTTTTCACCACAATTTCTTCAATATTTATTCTCATTCAGTCTGTATTTTTTAACTAGATGGGTGTGGCTTGCCAATGAATAAATATGCTGAAGGAATATTATACTATATACTATAGTTGATGATCCTTTATTTCCAAACCCCTATTTCTCTGAGATGATTTGCTTATCCAAATCTTTCCCATCATATTATGGATGGACTTTTTAAAAAAGGAACGTTAACTTCAAAGATTGATGTGTTAGTAGTTGTACCTTTTGTGGCCAGAGAAGTCAAAGTATTCAGTTCAAAAGGTCCACATGTTGGACTACTCCCCCATTAATCTAGATCAGTGAAGCTTAATGGAAAACAATTATAATTTACAATGTTAAGGGAGAAATATAACATTCATACAATGGAAATGCTTAACTCTGCAATCATTATAGAATTAAATTATACTGTGAAATACCAATGTTTCAGTGAGCCAAATAATTCAGAGGTGGGCAATAATTTTTAATGGGGGGCCACGCCAAGATTTTGGCAGGTAGTCAAGAACCATACTTCTATGGAGGGGGTTCAGTGTCTGGGACAGAGGTTGGGTGCAGAAGGGAGCTTGGGGTAGGAGGCTGGCGTGTAAGAGGTAGTGTGGGGTCAGAGAGGGAGTTTTGGTGAAGGAGGGGGTTGTGACTTATGTTCCCCATAAGCTGTGTGACCATGCAGCTGTTTAATGAGCCCTGCTCAGAGCTCCCGTGCAGCCAGGGAGCTCAGCTGACCAGGTGGGAAGGGGCTGTCTGGCTCCAAGCAGCTTCAAACAGAGCTGTCTGCTTGAAAAAGAAGAGCTCCAAGAGCAGGCAGGGAGGGGAAATGAGGAGGGAAGGAGGGAAAAAGTGGCTGGGGGGGAAGAGTTGTAAGGTAAGGAGTTTGGGGAGAGGAGGAGAGAGTAACTGGCTGAGAGGAGTTGGAAGGGAGGGGAGTTTGTGGACTCCCATCTTTGCCAGGGGAAAGGCAGAAACCCAACACTCTCCTCAAACCTCCTGGGCTGAGAAGGGGCCGGGGGGGATCTGACTGCATAGGGTATGCGGGCGAAAGAAGTGGGTGCTGGCACGGGGGAGAGGTGGCAGTGGAGAGTTTGTGCTGTGTGTCCTGGCATGAAGTGGGGGACAAGTGGGGAATTTGTTTATGCTATGTCCTGTAGGCTGTTCGTGCCTGCAAGGCTGAGAAGCAGGATTTTATCCCAGCCCCCAGATGGGCTGGGGAAGCAAATTACACAGGGATAGATGGGGTAAAGAGGAGGTGGGTGGGTGCTGGTATCCGTGAAGTGAGGTGGAGACAGGAGGGGAGTTTGTTTTGGGTGTCTTGACTCACTTGCTGCAGTCCTCTTTGGCTGAGTTGTGGGGAGGAGAGGGAAACAGGCTGCAAGTGGGGGAGGGACGGGACATTTGCATGATTATATTTCAAACAAAGTTTACACAGATGTTAATGGATTAAAGTAAAAAAGAAAAAGATTCTTTTAAAATAATTTTTGGTGTGCAGATATCTAAAACTCTGCTCTTAATGATTTTTTAAAATCTTGTGTTACTAATTAATATATGGTATACTGTATTATATTAAGGCCAAATCTTTGCTATGTGGTAGAGTTCTGGCTCTTACAACTCAGAAGAAGCAAGTACTAGGTGTAATGCTAATTGTTTTCTAGACTGAAACCTTATTTGCATGTTCTTTGAAACATGCATCTGTCTAGAAACCCTGAAGCTATGTGGTAATTTGCTCTGGGGCATCTACTTTGAGTTGCTGACACACACAAGGCAGAAGTTTCAAACCAGGAGAATTGTTATCTGTATATACCTGAGTGAATGCCTTTTACTCTCCTTTACAGTGTCAGTAAATATTGTATTAGTATTTGCAAGGAGAGCTTGACTATTTCTAGTTCATTGATATGTTTAGCATCTTAAAACTGGGCTATATGAGGATAATACGCATTTTGGTGTATTTACTAGCTTGAGTTGTTAGAAAAGATGACAATACATGTATTCCAAGGGTAGTGTTAATTTTCTTATTTGATTTCATATTAAATAAACATCCTAAGCATTTCTCCTTGTTAACTATCCCTTGTTTTAATATATTTTCTTCCACACTTAAGGACTGTTTTATTTATATATAGAAGCTTCAGGGGGTAGCCGAGTTCATCTGTACAGGATAAACTTAAACAACAAATAGTCTGGTAGCACTTTACAGACTAACAAAACACATAGATGGTATCATGAACTTTCGTGGGCATAGCCCACTTCTTCAGATGATCGGAGTTTTGAGTTTAGGATGTGCAGACCCAAAATAAATAGGAGAGAAGGGTGAAGGGGAAAAAAGGAAAGGGGCAGGAAACAAGAAACAGAGTATGTAAATATCAAAGGGAAAACCAAACAGGCAAAACTGGTCATCTATAAGCACCTAAAATTGGATAGTTAAAAGAAGCAGATAAGGATCATAGGATAGCAATTAGAGAGGAAGAGTACTAACACAAGAATCTACACAGACAAAGAACTGTTGGCACTTTCACTGTTTGTTTGTTT